CCTAGAGTGTTTCAGGTAGATGTCATAGTCACTGACTGCATACATCTATAATGGAAGAATAATAATAATGCTCATATAGTTTTAACAATTCTTTCATACACTTGTGTAGTTTCTCATGCTCTGCATTTGTGTAATTTTAATGATTCTTTCATATAATTCTCAATGTTTTTCTGCTTTATACTTCACTGTGAAGCTGCTTCTGATATTCTTTCATTTTGATTTTCTTTTTATAAAAACCTTTTTCATACAACCTTTTCTTCTGATCTTTTTTCTCTTTTTTTTTTTAATCAATTTATAATCTGTATTTAAAATAGTGCTAGATCGTTAATCAATGTACATATGTTATAATTACACTTTTTAAATATATGATATCATGTGAAAACAAATGTAATAATATCTCACTAATCATTTCACAGATGGTTTTAAAGTTATGATTTATTGTAAATGAATGATTTTCACTGTGAGAGATATTAAATTGATTGTGGAGATCACTCAAGCATTGAATAATAAATTTTTTAATCATTATAGAGTGAAAAAATGACATTTATTTTACTTTATTTTTTTTTTATAACGTTTTCAGATGTTTTTTTTATTTTTTTTAAATGTTCAAAATATCTACTGATATATAATGATATTTTTGTTGTTGATTTCGAAAAGGTAACAATATGTGGTAAATGTAGGTGAATACTACGGCTACCCTAGATCACGTGCTCCCCAATCTTATTTAGTTGTTGCTCGGCTAGTTAGTTTTAATACATAACAACGTTCATTCTATGAGTAACACTCACAGCATAATTAGACATCATCAAATGTAGTTAACTAAAAATATATTGATTATATAATTATGAGTAAGTCATGATCCCATTTGATACCATATTGTAAAATGGGACCAAATGAGACTGGGACTCAGATATCAAGATAAGAACAGTATTCAGAATTTAAATATTTTTTATAAATAGTGAAATGAAATCAGAGCTATAATACAAACAGTGTAAAGTGACTAATTTAATAAACAATATATGAGACCAGAATTAAAATATATGAAAATGAAATTAACACTAAAATTGATCATGATTCCATGCACAGTTAGACTGGCCGTGTGACCGTTGGCGGCGCCGTAGCACGGGGGGGGTGTTAGTGGGTACTACGGCTACCCTATCACGTGCCCCCCAACATATTGTGTTGCTCTCGCGTAGTTAGTTTTAGTAATGACAACAACGTTATCCTCCCACAAGAAGTGTAGAATGTTGGGCACTAACCGTGCCATGCTTACTCACTCTCTCTAGTGAGTGCGCCACAGCGTACGGAAAACCACAGCGTACGGAAAACCACAGCGTACGGAAAATATTATCAATATCTTCATTCTTCATCTTCAAATAATCATCATTAATTATAACCATGCTTAAATCTTCTAATTACACTGAGGAGCAGTTGCAAAGAGCTGTTGACGCGTACAAAAGCAATTCAAAATTAAAAATCACATCTCTGTCGCGAGAATTCAAAGTCCCATATGCCACCTTGTATGGGAGGATCAACGGGAAGAAATCAAGGACTATGAGGGTTCCACTGAATAGAGCATTGAATGACAGCCAGGAGGAGGCAATTAAGATATGGATTCATCAGTTGGATATTAATTTTTGCCCGCCCACCATCGAGCATATCGAAGCCGCCGCGAACCGCATGTTGAGACAGCATCATACAGATCCAGAGACCGCACCTCCCACAGTAAGCAAGATGTGGGCATATCAATTCATCAAACGCCTGCCAGATTATGAATGGGTCAAGCAAAAGCTCATGAATTCAAAATGGGTGTCTTGCGAGGATATAAGCTTCATTATCAACTGGTTTGATTGATATGAAGCTGTCTTCAATCAATATCACTTTTTCCCCTGCGATATCTACAACTTTGATGAGATTGGATTTCAAGAAAAAGAAGGATGTGGACAGTGGGTTATAACCGCCTTTAGAGACACAAATTCCATCATACAGTCATCATACTCCCGCGGGTTAATAACAGTGGTGGAGTGTGTCAGTGCAGATGGCACAGTATTGAATCCATTGATTATAATGAAATTGAAGGTCCATCTAGAGGATTGGTATACACACTTCAACTTACCTGACAACTACGCCATCACCGCATCCGAGTCTGGCTTTACAAATGATAAGATTGGATTTGAATGAATCAAGCAGTTCAATAAGATGACAAAAAAGTGTCAAATGAGCAGTCATTGACTGCTATTAATGAACAATCATGGTTCTCATCTCACAGAAGAATTCATCCAATACTGCAACCTTCATAAGATTATTCTATTCAGATTTCCATCTCATACAAGTCATATTCTACAACCTCTTGATGGCGTACCTTTTCAGCAGTATAAGCATTATCATACAAAGGCAGTTAATGAGGCCGCCCGCTACGGATATGAGCAGTATGGTGGCAGACAATTCCTTGCTAATCTGGAGAGCGTCCGATTGCAAGCATTCAAACCTGGCACTGTGCGAGCTGGCTTTGCCGACCGCGGAATGTATCCAGTTAATCGCGATATAATTCTCAATCGATTGAGACCTCTTACCATTGATGATGCCCCGGATCTCAACATATATGATGGTGATGGTGATGTATGCAATCACTTTATCCCGCTGCCTGCAGATTGACTGTCAACTGCCTCTTTGCAATTAACCTTCTCAGAGACAGTTGCAAAACTACATCACCAAATCAATGCAGCAGCCAAGGCCTTACAAGATGTGAAGGATACCCTTACACCTGATTTGACAAGGCAGTTGGACAAGATCTTCAAGGGTAGCATGGTCCAGGCGGAATTGAACGCGCACTGTGAGGGTGAACTTGCAGATCATTATCAAGCAAATAGATGTCAGGTTGTCAAATCCTCCTGCAGACAGATGCAAGTAGACGGAGTCCTCACTATTAAGAATGCCAATCACAAGATCACGACCTGTAGAGCAGATGAGATGAAAAAAATGTTCAATAAGAATCTTCAGTCAATTGAAATCAAATCTACAAAATCTACAGCCACTCAATCACAACAAGATAATTCTATAGAATTTCAATCTACAGTGGATTCTACACCTTCTAATGAGTATATAGATAATCTTTATGTTATAGATAGATGTAGTGGTGGTTATTAATTAATTTTTGAAGATCACTATAATCAAAATATTTTCCATACGCTGCGGTTAGTAGAGGGGAGGAACCAATCCAAACCCCTCAACAGCGGCCACTCCACCGTCGTGAATCGTGATTACTCTAGAGAATGTTAGCTAGCGACCACACAATGAGATATCCCATGGATTATGACTTAGCAGATTTTTAATAAAAAATGAGATATTTTAATTAGAATATAATACTGAATGATATAATATTGAATGAATTGAATATTATTTCTCTGAATAGAGAGCTCTTTGTATATAAAATAGTATAATTGATGAAATTGCTGTTGAAACTGATGCAGAGATTTCATTACTATCTTAAAAGTATTAAAAATTTATTTATTTTTGAAGAATCTTTTTAGATTGATTATAAATGATTCTTGATTATCTTTAATCTCCAAATTAGAATATAAGGAAATATTATAATTATAATTAAAAGTTTCTCAATTCTTTCATAAATATCCAATATGAAGGTTGGTTAGAGGAAACCAGAATGTGATGGCCGAATCCCCTTACATTCAAGTTTACAAGGAAATACAGCAATTAGAAGAATGTCCCTTTAGAATTGAGGAATACACATATGCCTGGCTGCTGGTTAAATGTATCTTGATAGCCACATCTAAGAAGTGGTTCCTTACGAGGATAACCATTATATACTGTACTGTACATCATCGAGGCCTTCTAAAAATCTAAAGTTACTGGTGAGCCTCGGTAGTTTGGCAGGTTTTAAGTTTGAGGGCGCTGCAATATACAAAGCTTTCAGTACGGGAGAATGATGTCATTCACGTAAAACCCTTTTTAAACATGCCATCATCCATCTATTCTTATCTTAACTTTCTCATAACAAAGCGAAAGGAGCAGAGAATACACAATAATGGGTTGGTCAAACGCTTCCATGAATGAAGGTCACAACGATGAAGTTAGGCAGATGATTGAAGCCTTGCCTCCTGGAAGCAGCCAATATGATGCTGAAGGTCTCGGGGCAGAGGACCTTGAGGAGCTTCTTCAAAGGGATCGCTTATTCACTCATACTGAACACTATGACAGTGATGGAAAACGAATCTTGGACAGCTATGTTGTGTTTAAGAATGTAGCTCGAGATACAATGCGAGACTTCTCCAACCAAAGACATCTTGGACGCATCAAAGATCAAAGTCTCACAAATCATCTCCTTATCATCAATATGCCTTCTGGCGATCATGAAAGTGCTATCCGCTACTTTGACAAAGTTCTTCAACGCAAACTGGACGAAATGAGAACAGACTTTTCTCTCGAAATGAAAGCCTGTGGATCAAAAGATGTGCATGGAACAACACGCACCAAAATTCCTGATACATCATTCCGGCCACGCCTACTCCCGGCCGCCCGATCAGACGAATGGCCCAGCCTGGTTCTTGAGGTTGGGTATTCTGAGTCTGCTTCAAAGTTAAAGAAAGACGCCAGCTGGTGGTTAACAGAATCCCAGGGGGAGGTACGAGTGGTGATCACGTTAAAGGTATTCCGCAATCACCGAGTCCACCTTGAGATGTGGCAATTCCGTGATGGAGCTGCTCGCCCTCGTCCTGTTCTGACACAGGAGGCGACTGTTACTAAGAGCGCCAGTGGTTATTCTGCCAGTGCCCCAATGGTGATCCGTTTCCAAGACCTTCTTTTGCGACCCCCGGCCGGCAACGGGGAATGTGATATTGTTCTCGACCGTGGCGACCTGGAGCAAATGGTCAAACTTGCCTTGGACTAGATGAGGAGGCATTGAGCTTTTACTCATATCAGAGAGGAGTTGGATGCTGGCGTCGCGAACTCCGCAGTCTTGTTGACCGCCAAGCACGACTTCCTGGTTTCCAGAAGCAGCGAAGTCCCGTCGTGCTCGGGCAAGCTCCGTTACGCGCTCGCTAAATGAAATGAATTCGCCTTGCCGTTTACGCCGCTGAACCATCACCACCGTTGGCTACTGTCCTGCTGTGGTGGAGCAGCTGGAAGAGGAGTGGGCTGGGTGCCATATAAAATGTCTTCTGTTTCTTTCTGAGCTTAGACGCTCTTAGGCCGAAAGGCCATAATGAAATAAAAGCTTTTATTGCTATTTTACAAAGTATATGCCAGGACGACAGGTATAGATCCCTTCAGTAGTAGGGTAAATTCGCTCGTGATCAATTGCCACCTCTCTCGATCTTCATCTTGCAGGTTGAAAATCTATCTCTCATCATGACTTGATACGCCGTTGCATCAGCTACCTTTGGGAGAAGGGTAGTATATTCAGTTGGCTTTTGGTGCTCGATATTGGAGCTAATTCTATCGTCGGCATTTGTATTAGTTGAAGAGTTGACAGTCATATTAACAGGAATCGCCAAAATTTCTCCATTGGTGATTGGATGTTGTGTGTACATGTGAGTAAATCACAGTGGTGAACAATGAGGGTTTGATGTCATTGGATCAGATTGATCCACTGATTTTCACTGAACTTTCTAATATATAAGATATTTGTATTTTCTGCAAGGTATCTCATTTTAATTGTCAAAATAACATTGCATATTTCAGCAGCTTCTGATGTCAATAGCTTGAATAGCAACTTTTCAACATTATAATAAATGAATTATAAAAGTTGTTTCTGATGATTCAGAGTCATGCAGAATACTTAGTGAGACTTTTAAATTTCAAAGCATTCTTTAATTAATATAAGATTGCTGTGAGTGTGTGAGGGGTGATGACAGTGTGAAGAGTGAATAGTAGAAGATAGTAATGTAGCGCGTAGTAACAGAAGAGTATAGTAAGAATGTAACAATAATATAGTAGCTAATCGCTAAGGAAGAAAAGGAAGGAAAAGAAGATGTGTGGAATCCATTATATAAGGGTAACGTGCGGTGGAGAGTGTCTTGTAGTTTGTTATCGTTATCTCCACGTGATGTGTATAGAAATTTGCCTTTTTCGGCCGCTCCAAGATGAATCACCAACGAGGTCTAATATCCCACAAACGCCAACCACGCATGATGCTGTAGAACCGGCCTTGCTCGCACCCCGACATACCTTCTCATCCACATCTTCTAGCGATGTCATGCTCAAAAGATTCCTTCTACTAGTCATGGGCTCAATCGCTAAAACGCCACTACCACTCGCCCCCTCCCCTCCCACCATCGCGTCCTCCCTCACTCCCCGAGTCCCCATCCCTAAAAATGGTGTGGACTATCGCGGTAAAATAGTACTCGCTCCCATGGTCCGCTCAGGGGAACTGCCCTCCCGCCTTCTGGCCCTGAAATACGGCGCGGACCTCGTCTGGGGCCCCGAAACAATCGACAGAGCCCTAATCGGCTGCACCCGCCGCATAAACCCGCGCAACTCCATGGTCGAGTTTACTCGCCTGCCCTCCAACGGTGGGCGCGAAAATAACCAAGCCGCGAAAGAATCCATAATCTACCGCCTCGATCCGCATCGAGAAAGCGGGAAGCTGGTCTTCCAAATCGGCACCGCCTCCCCCGACCTAGCCGTCCAGGCCGCCAAAATCATCGCGGCAGACGTCGCCGGCATAGATGTGAACGCCGGCTGCCCTAAACCATTCAGCACCACCGGCGGCATGGGGGCTGCCCTCCTCCAGACCCCCGATCGCCTCGTCTCCATCCTCACAGCCCTGGTGCAGCAAGTGGGCACCCCCTATCAGATCGGCATATCCGTGAAAATCCGCCTCCTCGCCGACCCAGAACGGACCCGTGACCTCGTCACCCGCCTCTGCGCCACAGGCATCACAGGCTTGACCGTGCACTGCCGCACGACCCCGATGCGCCCGCGCGAGCGCGCCATCCGCGACCAACTGCCCATGATCGCCTCCATCTGCCGCGCCGCCGGCGTCGCCATCCTGGTGAACGGCGACGTCGAGTCGCGCGACCACGGCCTGGCGCTGATGGCCGAGTACGGTGTCGACGGTGCCATGATCGCCACCTGCGCAGAGGCAAACTCGTCCTGCTTCCGTAGCGCGGCCGACGGCAGCCTCCTCCCCTGGCGCGCAATCGTGCGCGATTACATGGATCTCTGCCTGCAGTGCGAGAACAAATGGGGCAATACCAAGTATCTGCTCAACATGCTTATTCCGGGCAAGGAGCGGGCGTTCAATGCCGCGAAGCAGTCCAAGTCGTATCAGGACTGCTGTCGGGTGCTGGGGTTTGAGGACTTGATTGCCCGGGCGAGAGAGGTGGATGAGATTATCGGGCGGACGCCTGCTGCTGATGCTGCTTCTGTGCAGGATGACTATGACTCGGTGAGTGACAAGAAGAAGCAGAACACAAATAAGAAATATAAGAAGATCAAAAGTCACGCGGTGCAAAGGGCCATGTTGACGAATGAGACTGCCAAGGCTGCGGGCATCAGTGCTGGTGATTGCAATGCGTATCCTGTTCCTGGTGGTAGAATGGGAAGGGATAAAGGCGTTAAGAAAACGGCCGGTACGTCCACGGTGGGCGATGGGAATGTGAATCTGGGGCCTGATGCAGCTGCCGTCTTGATGGATATGAACATGGCTGCTGCACACCCACGTCCTGCGATGGAGAATGCGCCTGTCGCCAGTCCTCTACACGGTTGAATCCGCGTTTTCTTTCTCCTTACAGTTTCCCCGTTACGCATATTCGTCAAAAATACGCGATCTACCTCTCGTCTCTACTTGCTATTCTCGGTCTGTCCTGCTATTCAGCGCCACTAGATCATATTATTTGCATAAGAATGGCGTTATATTGGTGGAATTCCCTCTCATTTTTGACTGTTATCTACGCCAATTCATAGATGTTCACACCTTTTCTTTCCCCCTCCCTATCTGACAGTGAAGAGAAACGGGAACGCCCTCTCACCTTAACCTACTCTATCTAATCTTTGTCTTTACTTCATCCTTTGCTTGCGTTCCATCCCACAGCAACCAAAAGAGAAATAAAAATCAGCATATATTTCATCTCATGTTATTTGGTGATTCATACTGATTTACATATACCGCCGCCCCTGAATTATCCATCATTATAGATTTCCTTCATCTACATGCTCCAAAAAAAAAAGGAGGGGGGGGGGGGGGGGAAGATGATATATGGATGGCCTGCACGCACCGAACGCTGGGACCCCCCTCAACAACTCTGTACGGAAGAAAGAAAACCACATAAACAGCAATATATATATATATATACCTAATAGGTACACCTTCTGCCGTGTCCATGGACATCATCGCACCTGCCATTGAATGGCTTCACGCCCCGATACCTCCCGAGCGATCTAGCCCGATTCTCGTCCTTGGGCGGTGGGTCCTTAGGCGGCAATCCCTTCGTGCTGCGCGCATACGTCGCAAGCACATACGCCGCGCCTTTGGTATTCAGCAACCACGCGTCCTTGTTGATGTTCGTCACATTATCGCCCTTGCCATGGTAGTTGACGTCATAGGCAATGCCCGCCGTGCCACCGAACATCTTCGCCTGTTCCTCGGTCTTGATGCCCTCCGCGCCCGTGAAGATGCCGCCGCTGGGGATGCCGACAGAAATGAACGCGTCGTAGTCGGATCGTCCGTCGAACTCGGTGGGGATGTGTGGCTGCGTACGATCCTCGTAGTATTTCTGGAAGAGTTTCTCGATCTCCGCGCTGCCAGCGGGGCCGGTGACGTTGAAGGTGGACCCGTCGCCGTCGTAGATCATGTTGGCGTAGTTGGGCGAGGCGGTCATGTCGAAGTTCAGGTATAGGCGGATTTTGTCGCGTTCCTGTGGGGTCAGGTTGTCGACATAGTATTGTGAGCCGAGGAGGCCGTATTCCTCTGCTGTCCAGAAGAGGAAGCGGACGGCGTTGGGAACTTTGAATCTTGCGAGGGTCTTCGCGATGATGAGGTTGCCAATTATACCGGAGCCGTCGTCGTTGATGCCGGGTCCTGAGAGGTGGGGGAGGGGTTATTTAGAGATTGTTCCTGGTTGTGGGAGGCAACACGCATGTACTTACCAGCTTCAACGGAATCCGTGTGGCCTCCAATCGCGATGATGTTATTTTTATCTCCGCCCTTTGAGGTCGCAATAACGTTGAATCTACACCGTCGTATTTCCGGTTATTCAACAGGTCATAACCTACCGACTCATTGTCCTGGAGGACTACTTACGTCGTGCGGTTCTGAAACTCTGAGTGAGCCAACAATTCACCTGTCAGCGTTTCGGATCCCGCGCGGGCAGCGAGATCGTCTCCAATTTCCTTGGAGATCCCGACGGTGGGAGGGTAAGGCCCATTGGGGTCAGAGGGAGAACCCAGAGTTCCTGAAAGTGGGCCGGGGATATTGTTATAGATAAGGGCACCGACGGCTTTAGCCGAGCCAGCAAGCGCGGATTTGAGGCCGAATGTGCAATCGCCACGGAGGATCAGAGCGATTTTGCCATTCACTTCTGGTGGGAAATCCTCCTGTAAGATCGGGTCACGTTTAGCGATGATAATGCGCCGCCCCCTTTTCGTTTCTTCTTCCTCTGCGTCCCCTTGTATAAATTATTTCCCTTGTGTCCCTTTAGGTTAAACTGGGATGTGACCTACAGCAACGCATCCTAGGTTGTTCACCAGGACGATGTCCGCCTTCGATTGACCTGACGGACTATATGTCATAGGAGTAACTTCTGTGTCTTTGCCATTGACTTTAAATGTAGCGTTGGACATTGACCACAGGTGGATTTGCTTCTGCTTGACGACGTCGTAAAAATGGGTCCGCTGGAGCTCTCTGACAAGATAATCAATAGTATCATTATGGGGCTTGGTGCCGAAGACGCGGTTTCGTTCAGGAGTGGCGTAAGCGATGCCTTCAAGTTTCTTTGCTCCTGCCATCAGATCCTTTATGCCAATATGCCATATCAATTTTTCCTATACCCGGGGGGTAAAAATGAGGGCAGTTAGCATATTCTATTATCAATTATTCTGCTGCAGCGATATTTCGTTAGAAGACAGTGCTATATACGTACAGGGGTAACCTGGCGAAATTTATTGTACCAGTCACCCGGGAAAGGGATTTTAGGAAAATCTGGAAAACCCGGGAAACCTTGCGCTTCGACATCTGGAGTCTCAGCAGCAACCAGATGCGTTGCAAGGACAGCCCCGAGTGCAAGCAATTGAGCCGTCTTCATTTTGTAGGCGGCGGGCCAGGAGTCTTAACTGCTCAGTCGGCTGCAGAGTATCTCGATTCAGGGGGGGAACAACTACGGGCACAAGGTATGCGATGGATATGAAACGTCTCCAAAACATTGGCCCATATCCGTGCAACCTGAAAGAGCGGAGGTTGGGAGTAGGATAATGCGGGATCCTGAGCACTTTATAGTTGTCGCATTTTCGTGACAACGGGCATGCGATGCGAGGGCAGCCGCGGTTGGTAGAAACAGAATAGCGGATCCATGTGTTCTGTGAATCGTTCCTCATTTTGGGAAAGACACGGACTTCCAGCACGCTCTACCATCCGCTGATCGCCGTCCATGCAGTAGTCATGAGGGACTGAATGCGGTCCGCATACCACCTACGTAATTTGGTATAGTTCTCTTCGTGCATAGGCATTTCAAGCTCCAGCTCCCTTGGCGGAAACCAATTGGAATACGATTTGCTCGCCGAAAGTGTTATCTCCAAAGCTGGGTTTTCGGGGCTAAGCTTGTTTTTGCACAATTAGTGGGGAGCCGAGGTGAAGTACTGGAGCATGAAATTCTCTCTCCGCATTGCGACAGGATTATCCTTGTGAATTAATGTCGGTGCCAAGTTGGTACGGCGTTGGGAATCCTGGGGACAGGGGAAACGGCGTCTACGCAGTAGCGCCGTGATGCCGAGGACTACCCTAAGTTAATGATGTCAAGCTGGTCCGACATCCAGCGGCCCAAATAGCAACTTCAGAATCAGTACGAGTCTGCGGCACAACAAGCAATGACTGAAGCAAGTCTACAAAATCCCGGTGTGCGCGCCATAGGGTATGAGCAACTCTTGGGTGCACGAAAGCCGCTATCGCCCAGCACATATATGTTGGAACAAGCTTCAGAAGGAGTTTGGTTTTCGCCTTGATCCCGCCAAGGCACAACGTTCCATCGCGAACCCTCCAGAGCCCAAGGAGCGCATGGCTTGTCTTCAGAAGTAAGCCGATCGACAGCGCCTTGTGGGTCTCAAATTCACAAGATATTTGGCGAATCATGGCAAGCAGGAGTTGGGAACGGAGACAAGCCACATCGAAAAAGCAAGTCTGCTCGGCTTCCTGCGCTCTCGAGCTCAGGGCAGCTTGTAGATCGTTATAATCTATTTCACACAGCATCGCTTGACTTCTTCATGTCTCTCAGTACCTGGAGCCGTGTCGGTAGAGAATAGAAGAAGAGTTGGCCTTCTAGAGGGTTGCCTTCCCATCGAATCCGTGCACAAGTTTAATAATATAATGGAACTGGGAAATCTGTCCCTGGCCAGGGAGATGTCCCTCGAGCGGGGGATTTGTGAAACAATCCCCATGTCATTTAATCCCCATTCCAATCTATTCAATCCTCCCATAATTTGTACTACACAAATATTGATACTGCCGTGTTAAACCGCGACAGCTTGGCGTGGAGTTACTGCGTATTCAATCCTTCCGACTTGTCGCGAGCCCGCAGCTGGTGTAACTCAAGAGGCAGACAGGATGGCATCACCACCCCCTCCTCCTTGTAGTAAGGATGATTGTGATGGGCAAGCAGCGGTCACTGCGATCCATGAGAGCTTTGTCGTCGCATTCTCAATTCAGCCAAAGAAGAGGGCGTGGTGCGCTGTTCAGAGCCAGAAACCCCCAGGAAAGACAGGAGAGCGGGGGAACAACCAGTTTTCTGTCGACCAAGCACGAGGTGCGAAGAATCCAGGAATTGTGAAGATATCGAAATCAAAATCAAAGAGTGCTTTGTTGCAGCGCGGCGGATTTCGTCGGTATTGTTGACGAAGTTCCTTCAACGACTTCTCTGTGCCTGTGGTTTACACAGCAGCTAATCGGCATATACGATGCAAGGAAATGGCTGAAACCCTCGGCGGTCCCTAGTGATAATAACAACAATAATAAAGTACGACATAATACCCACTGCACCATGTTCAATGGAGAACGCGAAGAGTATATCACCAAGGAACTATACATTCAACAGCCTCGGCAACGTGGACATGCTGCGTACATACTAGTACCACCGACATTCATCCCATGTCAGTAGAGAAGTTCCCATCATTTGCTTCCACGAGATACTCAGTGCTGCATCTCTCCACCCTGGGCAGTGGCAGGGTCAACAGGTCGCGGACATGAAGAAGGGAGGCAGAAGAACGCGGTTAACTGTGGGTTCGGTCCACCTCGTTAACCTAGATGTCATTTGAAGGATTTCATCCCTCCCACAGGAGCGGACAGAGGGCGGGGAGATAGCAATTTGACTACTATGTACGATAGATAGTTTTCCCCGAACCAACGATCGGTCAACAACAAGGGATATATATATATATCTCCTTTGTATTTTCTCCATTGCAGAACATTGTTCCGGCTTGATTGTGTCCCGCATGAAACAATGGACATGGGCATTGAATGGCACTGCAAGCGAGGTTATAGAGGCTAATTTATTATATGGTTTATGTGAAATGGCCGGGTTCAACTGCAGATGGATGTAGCCTTCCATGTAACATGACAGAAGACGTCAATGGAGACGAAGATTAATGACGGCTAGACTGGAAGACGGCTGGAACGATGGCTGAAATAATATCATATCACAAACCCGTACCGAACTCCCATTTTCTGGTTTGGCAAAGACAAAGGGATGTTTGAAACATAATGAGAAGGGGAAAAAATCGAAGAAATTTCTAACCCCATGTTATCCTCCCTAGGTAGATGAAGGGGAAAGGAAACTGAAGAACACAAAAAGAAAAAAAGACTCTCTCTATTAACAAAAGTATTATTTCGCCGTACATACCAATTATCAATATTCCGAAAATTAGAAACATTAAGTAGGAGAAACGGGAAGAGAATCCGGGATACTGAGGAGTGACTGAAGTCTAACTTCTCGAGTGAATGTGAATTTATTAAACGGCCCATCTTCTTTCTTATTTATTTTAGTATTTCTTCTTATCTTTCCCCCCTTGTACCGAAAGGGGGAAAAAAGAGCAGAGAAGAGGGCCAATTTGGTTCGTTTTGGTAATTGATCGAGCTTGATAGGAAAACTGACGATTCTAGCCAAATAGTTGAAAGTACGGAGCTAAACGAGCATGGCAGTAGATGAACAAGCGCAGCGTACGGGCTCACGCGATAAAATAAGTTCTAATGTCGTGGCGTCGATCAAGGTTGCGTGACGGTGGAACGGCGCGTAGATGAGGAAATTCGCAAACCTCACGAAGAGCGAAATAAAAAGGGGAAAAGGATAGGATAACAGCGAGGAGGGAGGCATCGAACGCTTTTGCCTTGGGTTCGATTCATTGGAAATGGCATGCCAACGGATGTCGAGAGAAAGATGAAAACATTAGAAAGAAACGAAAACTCGTCCTTATATGTCTGGCAAATATATCCAAAGGCTTTCATCTATCAGGCCGCTTTCGCTTCCGCGTCCGCTTCCACTCTTTCAGAAGGAGAAGTAGTTATGGCAACAGACCCACTAGACCCATTCTTCCCTTCCTCCTCAAGTTTCGCAATCACCATCTCCTCCACGACCTTCAAACCAGCCTCCTCGCCCTTTCTCGACGCAGCAGGCCCATCGTCCTCTCCAGAAACCCGCTGATCAAGCGCCAGCTTCGTCTGGCCCAGCGCATATATCTGCTCCTCAATCGTATCCCTTGTGACAAGTCGTACAACCTCCACCGGGCGCGTCTGGCCCACGCGATGCGCGCGATTCTCCGCCTGCACGTCCTCCTGTGGATTAAAGCTGGAATCGAAAATGATAACTTTATTCGCGCAGGCGAGGTTGATGCCGGCGCCGCCAGCTTTGGTTGAAAGGAGAAAGACGGGTATATCAACTTGTTCGTGGAAGGCGTCGAGGGTAGACTGGCGGTCCTCGACGCTGGTGCTCCCATCGAGGCGGAAGAAACGCATTTGCAGGGTCTGCAGAACATGCTCGAGGATATCCATGACCATGGTGAACTGGGAGAATATAAGGGTACGGTCACCGTTTTCTTTGAAGCGCCTTAATAAGTCGCAGAGCTTGTCGACTTTGCCGGAGTGCATCCATTCGTCGTTTTTGAGGGTAAATTTTGAGAGGGTGGTTGGGTTTTGCTCGCAGAGGGTATGGACTTCGAAGTCGTTGTATGCGCATAGCTCCAAGTAGATTTGGTCTGGGTCTGATGCGGCCCATTTTTCATCCTTTACACATGCTCTGGCGATGCGACTGAGAGTCTTGTCGTTGTAGTGGCGACGGTAGAATAAGGGATGGATAGCGGCCTGGCGTAGTTTCATGAGGATGTTGGCGGACTTATTGCCCACTTTTTTTCCAGCAGCTCGATCTGCAATGAGCTGCCGCACGGTTTCGACTTCGTGGTTATATATATTCTTTTGTGCCTCATTCATTTCACAATATTCCACGCTGGTGAGCTTGGGCGGCAGATCGATCACCTGATGCTTTTTCCTCCTAAGCACAAAGGGGGTGAGCATGGATTTTGCTCGAGCAATGCGTTGTGCCGATAGTAGCGCCGAATGTGTGTCGTCGACCGTCTTGGCTTTAGCGCTGAAGATATACTCGAGGTCTTCCTTTCGCTCCTTGAAGACTGACGGGAGGATAAATCCGAGAAGCGAAGCTAACTCCTGGAGATTGTTTTGCAGTGGAGTGCCAGTAAGTAATAACCGGAACTGAGCCGGAATCCGGATAAGTTTCTCGTAAAGAATGGATTTACTGCTCTTCAACATATGGCCTTCGTCGTATACACAAACACAAAAGTCCATTGAGCGAAGGAAGGCCGCGTCGATTTTTGCCTTTGCAATTGTGTAAGTAGTGACTACAACGTTTATAGAGTCCCTCGTGTCTTCAATTTGCTGCCGAATCTCAGCCCGAACGTTCTGGTTGGCGTAATAAGGCATGACATTCAGCTTTGGGCAGAACACTGAGAATTCACGAAGCCAGTTCTCCAGGGTCGAAGAGGGAACGACAACAAGATGCGGACCCTTAACTCCTTTCTCAAAGAGATGGGCAAGAAAGGCAATGACCTGACAAGTTTTCCCAAGCCCCATATCATCTGCAAGGATACAACTTAAATTCTGCTGGTAAAGAAGGTTGAGCCAATTGATCCCAACAATCTGGTAATTTTTCAGCGTAATCGATTCACTCATTATTACTGGCTGCCCAATGTATTGCTGCCTCTTGCGTGAAATATTGTTGAGCTTAAGTTCGTCATCGTCGGCGCCAGATGAACAGCCACTTGAGGGAGTGGCAATTCCGGAATCATGAGCCCTATCTGACGAATTCTCGGTATCCAAGGAAACGATTTCAAGCTCGCCTTCTGTTTTCGTGCCGAAGATGTCCACGCCCCATCGTTTCATTTCGTTTGCAACTGGCTTTCCAAGTGCTTCGCATTTAGAAACAAGTGCATCTACGGCTTCATAACCCGTCCACATGTCAAGACACTTGTCGACAACTTTGTCCCCAATTGGCTTTTTCGCATACTTTTTCGATTTCGCGTTTGAAGTCTTTCCATTCGTTTCATCATCCTTGGTGATTTGGCGAACCGCGCTCAAAGAATTGAACGGACGTTTTGAGATAATGGTGTTGGCGATATTTTCCTGGATTTCAGCGATATCGGAGAGATCTGCCACGGAACATGAATTGAAAAATTTAAGGACTTTCGATTCCAAAATACCATCGTCCTCGGACTCCTCATGGTTATCGGATTCAGATGAGTCAATCTCGACGAATGGTATCTCTGGGGATTCTGATCGTGGTCTAGATTTGATCCCTTTGATGAGCCTACCGGGTTTCTTGGTAACATGCGCCGGAGCTGGTGATGTCCCGGATGGGGGAGACGAAGAACGTGTTCTTGCCCCCCTGATCAGTCGTTTACGGGGAGCTGCAGAGCCTCCGTCAGATCCACTCTTCTGGGTTGGCAGTCTCTGGCCTGAAGTCCACTTGTCCTGAATGCGCGTTCTCGCCTTAATCTGTTGTTTCGCTGGCTCCACCTTGGGCACATTGCGGTCCAAACTTAGCTCGTCGTCAGAGATCGAACCGGTGGGAAAATAATCCTCCAACTGGGCTAGATGATCTAGAGCGTCTTCATAATTGCCTCTCTTAGATACGAGGGTGTTGAGGATAAGCTGGACGGGTTTGCTCGGGAAAACGTTGAGAATTCGCTCAACTTTGATTCTAGTCTGGTAATCTTCAATGTCGTTTAACGAGAAAGTAATCTTCCCTGGCGAGATCTCTTCAGAGACTCAGATCTGTCCTCAGGCGCAGAGGACATGCTATCTACCGAACGTTTTACAGACAGCTTCGCATTATTGGTGTCCAACGACGGGTTGTAGAATGCGGAGGCGGTAATTTCCTTGAAACGATTCACAGCACCGTTCGTAGCAATTGGTGATTCCAGGATGCGTTCTTTATCGGGGCTCTTGGAATTCCTCGCAAATGTAGACCGCTTGATATCGGTAGTCCCAACAAATTGAATATCGTCCTCGTCCGAGGACCCGCCGCGGTAGGTTGGGCCATCATCGTCAAGGTCAATGGCAGGAGGCCTTTTAATAGGCACGTTTACCATCGGTGGAGGCCTAAACTGCGTCCCGATAGGAGCCATTGAATTGGACAAAACTCCAGCACCGGGTGCGTAGTAAGGACGGGAAAGAGTAGGCTTAGGGGCCAGCGGCGAGGATGTGACGACTTGGACAACAGAAGCATTTTGCGCAGAGGGCGAAAAAGGATGGTTGTGATTTCGGTCTATTATTTGTGTGGGCTGGGTAGCTTTTTGGGTGAATTGTTGTGTTGCGGGAGTGAATAATCTCTGTGCTGGCAATCCATGTTTGGATAGAGGGACAGTAGCTACGGTCTCCTCGAACTCTGAGCTGTCCTGATCATCAGTCTCGACATCAGATCCCGTTTGAACGGAAGACAGGCCAGCCTTCTGGTCGCGAACGGGGGTATCGGGAACAAGGTCCTCCATTGTGAGGTGGCTCTTCAGAGCCGGGATATTTTTCAGAGCTTAATGAATCGACAAACTAGATTAAAAGTATTTGAGAGCGGCATAGAAGGTATAAAGGAACTTATAAGACTAGAATCGGGTGTCTTTCTCCTAAGAGTCAACCCGATGAGCAGCTCTCTCGAGGTGAAAAGGTGTCATATCAGGAGCTGGAGGAGGACTGGTCGGCAGCGGGCGTGGTGAAAAGTGGTTGCTCCTCCAGGCCTTTTTGTTCCTCCTCGCGTGGTTTGCGGCAGAAAAACGCGCCTAGGAACACCCGTGATCACGTGGCGATAAGCCTTGCTGACTCATCTCTTGCCGTATCTCGCGGCAACGGCGGGTCCATTTCCCGATGCGGTAATATCGACTTCATGCAAACGGCGCATTGGGATAGCAGTTCGCAGGGAATTCACTGATAGACGCCGTGTTGGCGGGAGGTATGCGTCGGGAATGTTGGACGAAAGGAATCTGGGAGCCATCGCCTGATTCGTCTTGTTTATGTGCGCGGATTTCTATTTTCCACCGTCAAATAGAATCATAACACCCAGAGTTAGCAAATTTAGACTTTTAAGATTGTATGAAACACAGCCTGAAAACAACAATATCACGGTGCTATGATTACAAGCTTCCCAGACAAACTCCAGCAATTCTTAGGAATAAATACCCAGCTTCATAACTCAAGACCACAAATGGCAAAATACAAGTTTACCACTTAAAAAACGCCAGGGTTGCATTGCTTAGTACATACATTGAACGACCAACCGTAAATGAAAATATCCCGCCACAAGTCAGCAACCAAAAAAAAAAACCCCGATATCCGTTGCCATCTCTGACCACAACCACCATCCAAAGCTATCTACGCGACTACAATCATATCATAAACAACCCCCCTTTTAATAAAAAATACCCTTTCTAGATTCCAGCTAGAACAAATGGCCAGCCGCCGCTCCGCCGCTGCCAAGAAAGAGGATTTCAGCTTTGAAGCGGCAGCAACGCAATCTGCACATGAGGCCCAGGAAGGATTTCCTTCGTAAGTTATTCATTTCGTCCATGCATACTTTGGATTCGTTTTTATCGATTCATTTCTTGCATGAAGTCTTGTCTCTTCCCGTCTTATTCCCAGCTGTTGGATGAAGGGGATTGATTCCCCGTAAGCCCCGAATCGGGAACGGAAAGCCTCCGCATCCTTATATCTGTATATCATCTCTCCAGGTGTTATTGTTCAACTCCGCACAACGAGAGGGTGATATAGTAACATATGTTATGCCGAAAAAAAGACCACCAAGAAAAAAAATGATCAGAAAAGGAGATGAGACGCGAAGAAGCGGAAGGGGAAAAAAAAAAAAAATAAAAAGCAGAAAATCAGAAGCTCGCTTGTGCATCACCACTGATTTATCTCGCACTCTAGATCCGTCATCATCAAACTCGTCCTAGTCACTGTGGCGATGATCTGCGCGCCGCTGGGCACATACTTTGGCACGCTGAATACGATCTGTGGAGGTGCGTTGTTTTCTACAATACGTATATGTATATATTCATATATACATATATTTATATAATTTGCCACATCTTTTGTGCCCATCATTCGGATGTAATATATTTATATTTATATACATACATACACACACACAATCAATCCAATCCCTCGTCCCTCGTTACCCCCTTGAATTAAGAAACTCTCTCTCTGCTTATTTTTCCGCTTCGCTTCCCAGCCCTTTCTATCTACCGTCCACCACATACCCTCAAAAAAAAAAAAAAAAAAAAACTTACATGAAAAATCTCTACCCGCAGGAGACTCCTCATATGCCGGTGCCCTCGCGGCGATATCAGTAAATGTTGTCTTGATTATATATCTCATCATTGCTGCACGTGAAGACACTGGTGAGAGCGAGGAGGAGAGGAAGGGCAAGGAGGGGAAAGAGGAGTAAAATGATGCAGGGAGATATGGTTATGTTTGGATTGTGTCTTGGTATCGAGATAGAAATTGGGGCTGGGGACTGGTGGCAGGTTTCTTTCGCGGGAGACGGGTGGTGGGAAGATTTTGGAGCGATAATTGCGCCAGGGGAAGATGGATGGTGACTGACTCCCTTGACTTAATGGTTGAGTGGGTTTCATTCCCTTTGAACCTGGTCACTTTTGGTTCTTTCTTCATTTTGCTTTTTTAATATATGCTTGTATAACGTTCTTTTTATTTGCACTGTCTTTCTTACTTTTCAGTTGCGTATGT